GAAAAAGTTTGAAAGAGAAGAGCAATAGCAGTAACACACTGCCCAAGCAAATGGAAATGTATACTTTCAGACACAGATACTCATCCCAATTTCCCTTTTAGACATTTGCTGCATCAATGTTAGTCAAATTTTCTTGAAATTGTAAAATACCAACTTTAAACATTTGATAACAAAATATAGGTCTGTGATATTTGCAGATCATTGCATTGAGTTTTTATTCACATTCTACTCATTGTTTTAAGTTTTTTGAAATTGGGATTGTCTCATATAGTTTGTGTAAGTTAAGCAACCTTTGCCTTCTAATAACTGCTGCACATCACAAACCACTTTCCAACCCTCCCCCATTAATCTCATATATGTTGTCAGTAATGTTTCTTCCTTGTGTGGCAGCACGAGGTGGGAATGGAATAAATATTCTTCACAATTTAAAATGCCACCCTGGGAATTTCACCCAGAGAATACTGGGTTGAGAGGATACTAATCATCAAGAAGGCACTTAGGTTCGTTATACTCAGTACAGATATGTGGTTCAACAATTCTAAAAAGTATTCAGAGCCTAGTGATGTGCGAATCATGAACGAATCCTTCAATACTCGAGAATCACTTTACTGACTCGTGAATCATGCATCACAAGCCCAACTGACTCACTGACTCATCCCTGTTTCTGTTAGCAAACTAATTTCATTAGTAGAAATATATCCAGCTTATAATTAAAATTGTGAGGGAAAAAACAACAGCCAGTTTCTTAACAGAAACATTTCTGCTCTGAACTGAAAGAGAAAACCCTGAGTAGAAGCTCACATCAAGACAACAGTTCCTCAGTTCACAGTAGCATCGCTCTGCTAACATGCTAACACCACATTTGAGTTACTCACCCCCTCCCTTCCCGTGCTGAGTCGTAGCATAAACAAATCACTCACTAGCTGTGTCCAAATTCAGGGGAAGGATGCTTCAATGCCATATTTGGAGGCAATTACGTCACGGCGACGCAACGAAGGCTGTCCGAATTCAAAGAGTGCTCAAAATGTGGCAACAAATGCGTCCTACTTTGCCCCGAATTTTAAGGATGGGTCCGATGTATCCTTCGTGTCCTACTATATCCCAGGATTCATTGCGGGTCATACAGGAGATTTGTTTCTGATAACGATGGTGGTCGAAGCAGGAGAGGAAAACACTTTCAAATGTAAGTATGTGAAAATCTGGTTGTACAAAAGTTAAATTGTTATAGCGGTCGTGTTGTTAAGCTTTGGGCATCTGCATAGACATGTTTCTTTTGTATTTAAATAACCGTAAACCAGCTTGTATCGCGGGTCCCGTAGTTTTTATGTATTGCTGCTTACATACAGCTAATTTTGATTTTTTTCTAACTAAAACGAGGAGAAAACGATCACCTCTCCACTGGGGTGAAGAATTGGGCCGCTACCACGTGGAGGTACAAGAATAAATGAGTTTACACATCACATTCATATGAGTGCGGTTCTAAAACAAAACAAAACAAACAAAACAAACAAACAAACAAACAAAATCAACAAGCTTAGTTACCAAATTTTCTTCACATTACTATTATGTCTTTGGTATTTACATTTATCAAAGTTAATACTAATATTTAATACTAATAGTTTCTTAAGATGAATATCTGAAATAAGTTAAACAGAAGGAGAGAGAGGAGACAGAATGAGAGAACAATTCTTTCATTCTCCCCCCTCCCTCTCCTGTTTCTACTTCAATCATGAAACTGATCAATGATCAGCTGATCGGCTTTTCTCTCTTGTTTGTTTATCGCCCACTTTGCGCCAGAAAGAGGAAACCAGCGGATGTCGCGCTAAACAACAGCAGCACGTTTAAGCTTGATCAGCTGTTGTTAGAATTTATTTAATATTAATTTCTAGTATCAGCTGATGTTTGCTGGAGCCACAGCTGTAAAGCTGCTGGTCATGATATGGTTTGGTTATCTGGTGAGAGGGAAACATGAAGATGAAACCAGGAGATGTCCTTACTGAATCATCAGAGCTGTGATGGAGAAACAGGTTTACCTTTTAGGTGACATGAATGAGTTGAAGGGAAGTTATGAACTGTTTCTGAGAGACAAATAACACCAGGATCCTTTTCTAAGTAGCTGACAGCTGGTAACTGTGCAGGGGCGGGTCTAGCAAAGTTTTGTCGGGGGCCAGGTAGGGCATTAACAGGGAGAGGGGGGCACAGAGAAATATCTTTCTTTGTTATGTCATTTAAAAACTTTGAATAAATAATTATCTGAATCTTACAACCAAAGTGGTCATCTGATACAAAATGTATAGATATCATACATATACCAACAAGACTGCACATCACTGTCACCACAGCGTTTGTTTTCATTCAAAGGCTTTATGGTTTTCCCTGTAACACCTGGGGGGCCGGTCTCTAGTAAAAGTGCCCGGGACGATTTTTTGTCCCAGTCCAGCCCTGACTCAGAAAGAAACTGGAAAAAAAAGTAAGATTGAACTACTTTAATTAAAATCAGATGGTTACAAAAACAAATGCTCGACGCTCTGATAATGCTCTTCTGTTCCACTCATTATGATTCAGTTCTTTGCTTTCCTGTAAACTTCAGAGGTTTATTTTTATAAGATATACTGAGAAGAGTGTGGGATTTAATTAACTTACATATTACATGACTTTATGTGCAAATGTAATCCTACACTAGGAGAAACTGTAAACCTCTGAGAAAATGATCCACCTGGTAGTTAGTTACATTTATCAGCCACGGCTTTTAATGCAAATAATATAAATGTTTAACAGGATTCTTTGTATAATACAGACTGACAGACACGGAGTTTCACAGAAACCCTGTGAGCATCCTCCTTGTTTGGTTAATGTTTGATTCAGTTTAATAAGTTCTTACTAACAAATCCACCATCACGGGGAAATCTGATCATATTATTGGTTACAGGAAACAGTGACGGCTGTTTCCAGCAGACTGCAGACCGACTGCAGCACTTCTTCCTCCTGTCATCACCTCTGATCGTCTCTGCTGTAACTCGGCTTCACTCTGACTCGACTCTCCTTCTTCAACCTGGAAAGAAAATTGAGCAGCAACAATCTCAGGTGAGTAAACCCACGCTCAGCACCACTGTGTTACAAACTCATGATCCAATATTCCCGCTCTGGCACAAATTCTGCAGTATGAACTTTATAATGTTCACAGTGAGTCCGAGTCCTGCAAATGGTCACCAGATAAATTTACAGTCTTTCTTTATTCTTGGCTGGAATAAACAGCAAAAGTGGTGATGAATTAATCAGTGATTAGATTTATTTGTTTTTGCAAATAAAGCCGTCGACTTTAGGAGAATCTTCATCAATATTTAATATTTAATAATCTCACCATGTTTTGTTTCCATAATTTATTTTCCTAACTTATCATCCATGTTGGCGTTGCTCCTTCGTGCACACAGTGTCTGCTGCCCTCTTTCCCAGGAAACCTTCAAAAAGGAGGTTTTTTGTTCGTTATTTGATGTTTGTCATATTATTTGGTGTAAATAATACAGTGTTAACTTTATAATGTTCAGTTTTTGTAGCTTTGGAAATATGTAACATTGCTGTATATATAATGTTTATTACTGACATAATTAGAGATTTTTATTTTGCTGTTTTTTGGGTTTTTATGCACAGAGAGGTCAGAATATTAGAAACAGAAACAGGATTATTTTTGAGTACATGCATACACCAACAGCTGGTTAAGATCCAGACTAAATGAATAACATAATCAAACAATTAATACATTAAAAAACATTAAAACCACCAAGCAGGCACATCATTTGATTATTGATGTGATCATTTAAAGCAGAAGATACGCGTGAAGCTGTTCCTTCTGTGCTTAAGTTCAGGTTAAAGAAACACCGGACATGGTAAAGTCTGTGTCCACGTTTAAAGATAAATTTGGGAGTTATAACTGAGGACGTCTGTTCAGCATTAACTACTGAAAACACGAAATATCATTTCATTATTATTTGTAAGACAATAGAAAAAACGGCACTGATAACGTTGCGCTGAGTAAACCCACTTCCTGCCTCCCTCAGTTATTACTGAGGGCTGTAACTTAACCAGCATGCAGGTCATGCTTTTCATGTCAGCTGAAGAACAACGACTCACAATGTTTGCTGTAAGGTCACCTTTGCACAGGTGAGTCAGGAAGTGGAACAAACACCTTTGAAGAGCTTAAACTTGGAATCTTAAAAACCTGTGTGTGTGTGTGTGTGTGTGTGTGTGTGTGTGTGTGTGTGTGTGTGTGTGTGTGTGTGTGTGTGTGTGTTGGGTGTGGGGTTTCTAACTGTAAGTACTAACCACACATTAATATCCTCGTGTGTGCTGAATGCTCAGGTGTGATCGTGTCCTTGAACCACACACCGACACGTCATGTTTCAGGAGACACGCGAGAGCCTCACGCAGAAGAAACACACAACAGTGATGACACACCGACCTCTGGTGAGTGCTGCCGCCCACGACGGGAACAGACTCTTGGTTTGGACGTGCTCATGTTTAAGCACTTCCTGTTTGGAAACCTTTCCTTGTGGTTAATTCCTCAGCGAATCAGAACTCCAGAGTCCAAGATGAAAGTGAGCATATGAGGAAAAAAACACTCCAGTGATGAATAATCCAGGCAGACAGTGAAATCTGTCCCTACAGGGCAGGATGACTCATCTGCAGACCTAATATTACAGCACAGGAGAAATAACCTGTGTGAAACACTCCTGTGATGAGGAAAGAAGAACATCAGATCAATAATTCAGATAAACTTTTAAACTTTAAAAAAAACACACATTACCATCTTATACAACATTTTAAACTCTGTCATCTCAAAAATGCTGCAATTTTCATAAATTTAAATAAAAAACATTAAAAATGATACTCAGTGAAGTGAAAATCTTCTGTCACAGAGCTTTCTGGGTATTGTAAAATTTATTGGTTCACTTGTTTGCACTTTTAAAAGTTTAAAAAATTTTTTTAGAACAGCAGTGGCAGTGTTGCTCCGTATTTCTGTAGTACTGCTTGTTGACCACCAGATGGCGGTGGTTTAAAGGGCTTCTGTTTCTGCAGCACCTGTTTCACCTGTGAAAACTGTGTGACCACGGAAATATCTCCAGATGTAAATGAGCTGCATTTAAGACAGAAAGCTCCTTAAAAATAAAACGTTTTCTCTTTTTCAGCCACGAACTTCTGACTTTTCAAGGTCAAACAAAAATAGATTCACAGATACTTCTATGCAAAACGAAGCAGAACATCAAATTTGTGACTGATTCAAAAGTTTTTTTTATAATTAATTAATTAAAATATAATTCATGTAATTAAATGTAATAAATTACATCTTTAAAACTTAGCTGCCAGCTCTTTATTTCTTTACTTTTACCTGCAGTGACTCTGTTACTCTGTAATGTCTGTCTCAATTAAATTAATAACCGTCAGCTGGTTTTATTAATTTGATCTGTATTTTCTAAACAGCCAGAAATTCCTCTGTTATGTCTCCCGCTGAGGGACAGTGCAGCTGAAACATCTGGTGAGTCCATCAAGCTTCATGTCACAGATGTTAAATACAAATTCATGCAGTTATATTTCTGTCTGTTTCACAGACACATGTGATGCTGAACCTCCAAACAGCAGCAGCTATGATCAAAGGCCTCCTGACAGTGAGTTCGACTGAACTGAGAGAAAGTTCATGTGAGAAAAAGTGTGGAGTCGTCTTTCTGCGACACGAGTCAGACTCCACACCTCGAGTTTCAACCTGCAGGATGATGATGATAAAGGAAAAATGATACTGGAGGCAAACAGAGAGAAGTGTTAGCCTCAGCACTCAGAGGCTCACGTACACATTTCCAACAAGACAATCTGACATAGTTTTAACTTTAAAGCAACGCAGTAACAGGGAGACTGAGAACAAACACACAATGATTCTGTGCTGAAGCAGCTAAGACGACTTCATCATCACAGAATAAATAAATCAGGTTTTTGTTTATTTTTCAAATTGAAGTTGAAATGAAACAGAAAAATATTCAAGAACAAAAATGAATGATTCATCATTTTTTTCTTTTCCTTCATGTGTTTCAGCTGTCATGTTCAGGCTGGTTGAAGCTTGTCAGCTTTATGTTTCTTATCTGAAATCTGAACATATTGTTTTCCTGCCGAGTGCAATGATGAGTATCAAACATGTTGGTTTATGCTTATTTTTGTGGTAAATGGCCTGCATTTGTATAGCGCTTTTCTAGTCCATAGGACCCCAAAGCGCTTTACACTACGTTCAGTCATCCACCCAGTCACGCACACATTCACACACACATTCACACACTGGTGATGGCAGCTACATTGTAGCCACAGCCACCCTGGGGCGCACTGACAGAGGCGAGGCTGCCGGACACTGGCGCCACCGGGCCCTCTGACCACCACCAGTAGGCAAACATGGGGTTAGTGATCTTGCCCAAGATATTTGGGATCGAACCACTAACCTTCTGGTTAGTGGCTGACCTGCTCTGCCACCTGAGCTACAGCCACACGTAATGTGGGAGAAATTCTATGTAAGAAGTTTCTGTGGGACATCAGTAACATCATCCAGGATCTTTACATTAAAACATGTCAGTAAACCATGTCTGTCCTTCTGTGGCTCATATCTCAGTGTTACATTAAACACTCAGAGTGTATGAGCTCTACTCTCTGTGAAATACACTCAGAATAAGGTGCAGCGTCAAATCACACAATTCATGAACAAACGAAGTAAATGAATTTCTGTCTCTTTGCAGATGACGAGCGTCACTGCAGCCACAGATATGAAGTGATGCCGCATCACAGTGAGTAAAACTGAATCTTTCTTTTTCTTTCATTGTTGCAGTTTATTCATAGCTGCACAGTGAATCTGCTGAACTACAAACACAAATCCAAACACTGTACTTACATGAACTCAGCTCTAAAGTTCTGCATAGTGAAAAAATCACTTTAGTTTTGGGTCAAATTAAAGTAAATTTTAGTGCTGTATATTCTGTAATAAATACTTATAAACAACGTTCCCTCTAAGCTGCGCGGTGCGCAATTACGCACAAAAAAAAACTAACCTGAATTGAAATTAAAATAAACACGTTAATAATTCTGTTCTGCAGTGTTAGTCAGTGACTGGCTGCTCCTGTATGGGATCAGAACCATGCTGCCTTATCCCACAGTCCAGCCAATCACGCGATTCACATTCGTATATACGCAGCTAAGTCACGTGGTGACAGGCTATGACAGCGTCCTTATGTGCGACCGTGTTTTAGCAAAGCGGCTGATGTGGAGTGAAGCCACGTTAATGACAACGTGACACCATGGAGACGTGAGCAGGACAGACGAATAGCGCTCTCGTTCTTCTTGGTGGCGACCGATGTAAGGGGGTCAGATACACGCCCCGTCTGGCAACTCAGCAGTCCGTCTAGAGGCCACATTTAGATGCGACCGAAAATATATTACACATAAGGAAAATACTAATAAAATAAAATAAAAATAAATAAAATAAATGTTCCTTTAGCTTTTTTTGCTCTATAAAATAGTTGTTTTCTTTTTAATCACTCATCTTAGCAGTAGGATTTACATGAAAAGAGAAACAAATTAAGTTTGAGTGAAAATGTACATTTTTTGCACTCTCTGGTCACTGACTCAGTGAATCAAATGACTCAAAAACGATTCACTTTGGTGAGTGACTCATTAAAACTCGATTCTAAAAAGAATCAAATTTACCATCACTAAAAGCACTCCCGCCTGTGAGCAAAAACAACACCCCCCCCTCCCTCCCCCCGCCCCCCTTTCCTATTGGTCAAAAAATGTACCATGTGGACCAATCAAAAAATGATATGGCAACATGGCATTTAGTTGTTTAGGAAGGGGGAAGTTTTAGGAGTGACGGCGTGTTTGAGATGTGAGAGATTTGTGACGTTTAGCACAAATCTTGTGTAGTGTGTGTTAGTGTGTAGTCAGTGTGTAGTGTGTAGTTAGTGTGTAGTGTAGTCAATAGTGTTGTTGTGTGTGTCAGAACAATGAGGCGACTGCTGAGTGTTACAGGTGTTACAGCAGTGACACATCTGCTGCTGTCAGGCCTGCAGGTATCAGGCTGTTGTTCTCCTTCATCTCATAGTGGACAGAATTATTTTTTGGAGCGGCACAAATAATTTGTGTGGCATCAGATTTGATGCAGAACAGCTGATTGTTCTGTAAATAGTTTGAAATGTTTATTTAAAAAACACCTTGGCTGCATTTTTACGTAAAGACTGAGGCAAAACTCAGTTACTTTTTTGAAGAAGTAACTATATAATTAATTGCCCAACATTGGTCATTATATACAGTATTTTGCAGGCAGAGAGTTACAGACTCTCTCCCAGACCACAGACTCAGCGTGTTTTGGGGTTTAAAAGCCACAGAGACACAGTGTTTAGAAAAAATGTGTCTCAGCTGCTCCAATAATCCTGACACATATGGGATCACTACAGGTTTTTGCTTAGGCAGCGGTTGTCCTTCTCTCCTGGATCGGCTGGAGCTTTCTTTAAGAGCCTTTCCAGCTTTGACAAAAGTCCAGCTGTGATAACCGCATTTGCTCAGGGCCTTCTTGATGTTCTTCTGCCTCCCTGGCCGCTGTGTCAGTGGGGATGGTGTTCGCTCTGTGTTAACACAGAGCGATGGTTCGCTCTGTCTCTGTGGCTTTTAAAGCCCAAAACACGCTGCACCAAAAATTGGTCCACCCCAAGGATCAGCACCCCCAAAGCTCTGATCCTAGAATCGCCCCTGCTCATAATGCAAGTCAGAGCTTTATAAAAACAGAACAAAACAAAGTTGTACCACTTTGTTTTTGTTTTGTTTAAAAAACACATGTTTTCAAAATTGGATTTCAAGTTATTTTTTACTTCCAATAGTGTTAACATGCTACAGGTCATGAACAAGATTTCTTTTAAATTTTAAATTTTGGGCTAAAGCAGTTAATTAAAAGTCGTCTAACATAAATGCTGTAATTTGATTACTTTAATAAACATGTGACTTGGATGATTCGATGCTGGCGTGACCACAGTGCACACGTCTGCTGTTGCTCACAGTGGTCCAGGGACGCTCAGGGAGTTTGTGTGTTCGCTCACACACATGAAACATTAGAGGGAACACTGATTATAAATCCTCATCTTTTTGATTTTGTTTTACATTTTTAATCACTAATTTAATTCTTTCTTTATGTAGAATGAATATTTAATGTGGAAATGTTGAGCTTCCATTAAATGGGCAGTTATTACAAGTATCTTTGTGTGTGTGTGTGTGTGTGTGTGTGTGTGTGTGTGTGTGTGTGTGTGTGTGCTGTGTGTGTGAGTGTGTGTGTGTGTCTTGTGTGTGTGTGTGTGTGTGTGTGTGTGTGTGTGTGTGTGTGTTTGTGTGTGAGTGTGTGTGTTCTGTGTGTGCGCTGTGAGTGATCTTTGTGTTTTCACAGATGATCTGCAGCTGCTGAACAGCAGCGACGATCTGCAGCCTCCAGACAGTGAGTCAGACTGAAGTCTGAGTTTCTATAAGAACAGTCAGTGCAGTCAGCTGAAACAGTCACAGACAAATAGACAATAAATCTTTACCTGAATCTTCTACACTTCGTTGTATTCATTGCTTTCTTTACGGTTTTCTTTGCAGTGTCTGAGATCAGGGTCGTTCTGCTGGGGAACATTCAGTCTGAGAGGACCGCTGTGGTGAACTTCATACTGGAGGTTCCTGTGTTTAGCCCCGAGGAAGAGCCAGACTATCAGCCGGTCAGAGGACTTCTGAGGGACAAAGAAGTCATCCTAATCAACACTCCAGATCTGCTGCTTCCAAACATCTCTGAAGATGATCTGAGAGAACATGTAGAAAACTGTGTGAGGCTCACAGCTCCTGGACCTCATGTGTTCCTTCTGGTCCTGCAGCCTGAAACCTTCACAGAGGATCACAAACAGAGACTCTGCAAAGTCCTGAAACTCTTCGAAAAACGAGTGTTTGATCATTCGCTGGTTCTGCTGTCAGCATCCAAAGAGAGGGGCTCGAGTTTCATGGAAGAGCTCGGGCTCCATCGTCCCTTAAAAGATTTGATCAAAATGTGCAGTTACAGATATTTGTGGAGGAAAAACCTCGAACCTCAAGAGCTCTTCACACGCCTGGTTCAGATTTTTAAGGAGAACAATGGAGAGTGTGTGAGATATAAAGCACATAGCTAGGAAACGTTTACTGAAGCGTCCGGTCTCAAAATGCAGAGTATAACTGCACTGTATAAGTCCCAGAGGACTGCATGCCTTTTAAAACCAGACCAAAAGTTTGTTTGGTGAGTATCAACCAACAGCAAATGGTAATGGTAAATGGCCTGCATTTGTATAGCGCTTTTCTAGTCCATAGGACCCCAAAGCGCTTTACACTACATTCAGTCATCCACCCATTCACACACACACAGCAAGGGGTAAAAGCAGCTTTTTGTTTTTTTAAAGGCACCAAAATAGTAGAAATAAAAGATGTATAAGAATTCTTGGTTATCTGGATGTGTGTGTTTGTTGTTCTTTAGTCTGTTTGTCCGGGTGTTGTTGGTTCGGTATCTCTTCCCTGAAGCGTGCGTCGTCTCTGTTTCCGTTTGAGGCGTCAGCACACACAGTGACTCACTGACAGGACGCTCGCTATTGTGCTTCGCCTGGAGCTGAGAGCACAGTCGGGCCAGCTTCAGCTTCCTCAGGAAGAACAGTCGCTGCTGTGCTTCCTCACCAGCTGTGATATGTTCACTGACCATGTGAGATTGTTGGTAATGTGAGCACCCAGATATTTGATGTTCTTCATAGTCTCCACCTCTTCACCATTTATGGGAAGTGAGGATTTTTATCATCACTGGTGATCAGTCCCACTGTAGTGGTGTCATCAGCAAACTTCACTGTATCCCAAATCCCTGCAGGGCTGTCCTCAGGACCAGGGTTCACGAGATTTTGGTGCCGGTTCTGACGTGTGATGGTCTGTGGGTAGTGGATAGTCCCAGGGTCCCAGTTTGTGTCCCAGTTTGTGAGTGATCATAGTGTTAAAGATGCAGCTGAAATGAACAAAAAGCTTCCTTAAATGTGTTTGGATGCTCCTGCAGGGACTGGGGTGTGTGAAGTGCAGGTAAGACTTCATCCTTCAAAGATCTGTTCTCCTGATAGGTGAATTCATGGTTGTCAAGATCTTTGGAGAAAATGTGAGATAAAATAATGCCCTCAAAGCACTTAATGACCAGGTGAAGGTCACTGAGAGACTTAACTACAAATGTTTCTAACATTTTTCACTTTATCCATCCTTGGACCTGTAGGAATACTGTTGATTATTAATTAGCAGAAACCAAAAGAGCTCTGCCCCTCGAGCCAAAGCTGATGACATAACAGCAGCAGAGACAGATTGGAGCTGTTTTTACAGACTTGGAGCTTTTTATTGTCATTGTGCAGTTTCTTGCACAGCGAAATTGGGTAGCTGAACCAAAAAGGTGCAGAAGTAAAGAAGAGAAAACAATATACAACGAGGGGAAAAAAGCAATATATGTATACAGATATGTGAATGAATTATATACATGGTGTATGTGTAAGAAACACTGAAACAGAAACATTGTGGGTCTGCATACAATGGCAGTTATATAATAAATAAATAAGGGTCGAGGGGCTATGGTCATTTAGGGTGGGGATGGTGATTCCACTGAGACCAAAGTATTGCATAAAACATGGAAAGACTGAGATATTGCACATAGATGATCAACAGCAGTGTCAGGATGGATGTGTTGGAGAAGTCTGTTCACACTCTTAGTTTGGATTAAGAGTTCTGACAGCCCAGGGGATCAAGCTGTTCTTTAGTCTGTTGCTTTGGCACCTGATGGATCTGAACCCTGGGCTTTCTTCACCAGGGCTGATGTGTTTGTGGACCAGGATAGGTTCTCAGATATGTGGGGCCAACGAACTTAAAGGAGAACACCCTCTCCATATTTCTGGAAGAAAAAAGAGAAGAAATGTTTCTGATTTTATGACTTGATTGTTTTATTTACCATGATCCAAATTTGGTATTTTATGAATCATCACAAAATCAGTTCTTGTGCTGGTAGATGCAAATTGACAACCAATAAAAAAATCACAACAAAATCACAACAATAAATTGACACGGTGATAAATATCTGATAAATTATTAGAACATGTTAGTTACAAATGTCATCTCAAAAATCTCTTCTATCACAACTAAATATAGATGTTATCTGAAGGTAATGTTTAAATTTCAATCTAACTCTTTTTGAGATCACATCACTCCTCCTCTGTCCTGTACTGTTTGTTTTTTCATTTACCTTGTGTTTATAGTTTGCTGTACTAATGTGACCTTGAGGGTCTTCAAAGGTGCATGTAAATAAAATGTATTATTATTATAATCATTATTATTATTCATTATTATTATTATTATTATTATTATTATTATTATTATTATTATTATTATTATTATTATTATTATTATCATCATCATCATCATTATTATTATTATTATTATTATTATTATTATTATTGTTATTTATTATTATTATTATTATTATTATTATTATATTATTATTATTATTGTTATTATTATTTTATTATTATTATTCATTATTATTATTATCATGATAAAGAGTTATGTTTTCAGACAGTAGTCATCTTCTTTAATATTGATTCTAAATTTAAAACGTTTTCATGTACAGCCTTTTCAATTTGTTTTGACTCAAATATTTCATGGGAAATATCAACTAATTATTTGATATTTTCATTATTATTTGTCTGCCATTACAGACAGACAACTGTAAGAAATGGTTTTGATAAAGATTTCCTTAGAGAGCAGCAGATAGAAAAGGCAGAAATTTGTCTCCATTATATGTTTTATTATTGAATGTGAACATAATGTAAATATTCTCTGTAAACACCACATGGATACAGATTCACTCTGAGATTCAGTGTGTGGGGGCTGCTCACCAGGTCAGACCAGTGGCGGTTTTTGGAGCATCAGAGGGAGTGTTCGCCCAGAGCGCCAAACAGGCTAGGACCGCCTCTGGATCAGACTGTGAAGTCTCCACCAGTGATCACACTTAAATTTAATTAGATCACAAATTTAAGTAAAAAAGTCACACAAGTTTCATTGTTAAGTCGAAACTTCCTCATTCACACAGCTACATCTTGGGGGGGGCGGGGGGGGGGGGGTCTCCACCTTTTTTGGGGTGGAACATCTTAAACACTTTCGTTTTCATTCGGATGGACGTTTTGCTGCAAAACGGTTAAACCGGTGAGTAACTCAACCGACAATGAAATACTTTAAGATCTTGTAATAATCTGCTGCTGAGCTGCTCATTAAACCAGACGAAGCTTCAGTGTTGATATTACTGACTGATCATCAATCACTAATCTATTCCTGTTAGGTTAGTCAGATTTATATCGACATAATGATATCTCGGCAATTTGTCTGACGACCTGGAAACAGCTTCCTGATCACTCAGACTGCACACAGCGTGATTTTCAAATAACTCGGTCAAAGTATGTGTAAGTGTCACAGAAATAATGTTACTTATGGCTTATATATAAAGAAGTTTAATAGATGGTTCCAGCAGTTAAAATGTTCTTGCTTGTACTTTCTGTGGTCAATATTGTAAAGGTGTGTTTATCTTGTCACAAAGAACAAGTTTTGTTACACCGCTATTATCGGAGGTTTGGGCGTGATAATATAGGCTGTGAGCCCACGTTTAATAATCACGCTAAGGAGTTCAGCGAGCTATCTGCCTGGGTTAGTTACCAGCTGTAAAGGTATTTGTCATTTGCCATAACTGTATTGTAATATTGTGAAAATTTGTAATGTATGGTGTTCTAATTATTTTATGTTTTAATTTAGAATGCACAAGACTGTAAAGCTATTCTTCTAGGACCTCCGAAGTGGCAGGCGGCCACGAGGTAATTTTTGTTGTTAAAGCACAAGTGTTACTTTTGATAGACTGAAGCGCTTAAAGCCTTTGTGTTTTATGTTTGTAGTTTTCACGGCGTTCAATAAATGCAGCGAAGCGCCCGTCTTGAAGAAGCCGTGCCTGTGTTGTCATTTCGGAGTTACAGTACGAGTGTTTGAAACGGAAATACAGAAAAAAGCCCGAGAACAACGACGCGATTTGTGCAGTTTAATGTGGAATTTGATCCTCTGATTGTCAGTTTGTGTTAAAATGAGACCCTCCGGTTTCTTTTCTGCAACACTAAGAAAGTTTTTTTTTAATTTAAAATGATCAAAATGCATGCAAATGGTAAATGCAGCGTTTTAGATTTCAAATGTGAAACACAACCAGGAAGAAGAATCAGAATCCCTGATTATGTAGTTACAGTTGTTCCAAGATAATAAGAACAGTAACAGACTGTCCATCCATTTTCTTCCGCTTATCTGGGGCTGGATCACAGGGGCAGCAGCCCAAGCAGAGAAGCCCAGACCTCCCTCTCCCCAGCCACCTCCTCCAGCCTGTCCGGAGGAACACCAAGGTCTTCCCAGGCCAGATATAATCTCTCCAGCGTGTCCTGGGTCTGCCCGGAAAACCTCGCCCAGGAAGCGCCCAGGAGTAGTGATGGGATTTCCGGCTCTTTTTAGAGAACCGGCTCTTTCGGCTCCCAACCGGCTCTTCAGGTTGTTTTGTTGCTTTAATTAATTTATTATTAACAATAATATAAAATTATGCACAAAAGGAATTACTAATGTAAAAAAAGTGGTTTTATTTATATATGTTTATATATAAATATATGCGGTGGCCCCTAGAGACAAAACACGTACAAACTCCAAAACACATTTCTAGCGTTAACTGAACTTCCAAACAGAGCTACCTAGATCACTTAAATTACACAATTGAAAGCATTGTGTATTGTTTGTGTATTTATACACAAGCACTCATATATATTCAAATAATTTAAAAAAAAAAAGTTCATTTACCTGTTATACCACACACCAAATCCGGTCGTTGGTACTTCCTGGCTTGTGTAGCCACTAAAGCTCAACACTGCCCCCTAGCATCCTGGAGCACTTCTGTTGTGTTTTGTACGTGTTTGGAGTTTGTACGTGCTTTGTCTGTAGGGGCCACCGTAAATATACTTTTATTTATTCACTCCACATAAAATGTAATAAATAAATCATATAATACAAAAACAACTATTCACATTTCAACTTTTAACTATTTAAATTTTCAGCTTTTTCCTTTTAAACAAATTTAAAGTGAAACAACACAAAACACTGCAAACCACAACACAATTAAATATAAATTAAAATATGAAAACAAAAAGAAGATGCACATTCTCTGTCATATGGACCTGCATGAATAAACTTTCTGAATCCTTTATCATCTGCAGCTGAAAATAGTTGTGGATGATTACTATACCTTTCTAATGTGACTTGTTGTCCCTGGCTCTCTCTCTCTCCCTCCCGCTCTGTTCCTGTGCTACTGAGTGTAACTACCGCCCCTCCCCCCTCTGCCCAGCACAAAGCACAAGGCTCGCGTGCGAGTGAAGCGGAAAAAGTGCGAGAGAGAGAGAAGAGAAAGAAAAAAAAACAACCCCGGCTCGAGATAAGGAGCCGGCTCGCGTCGTTCACGTCAAAGAGCCGTTTCGTTCGCGACAGACACATCACTACCCAGCAGGCATCCTTGTCAGATGCCCGAACCACCTCAACTGGCTCCAATGTGAAGGAGCAGCGGCTCGTCTGAGCCCCTCCTGAATGGCCATATTATTGTAGGGTCCGTGCCTTGGAAGCGTGGTGTTGTTGTGATTGCAGACCTCAGCAGACAGCAGGAGTTTATTTTTCCAGATATGATTGAGGTTAGAAATCCAACCATGTCTGTTTACACATGTTTTCATGTGTTAGAGCCCTGACTTCAGTTCAGGAGATGAACCTTCAGGTCAGAAGGATGAGGATGAGGTTTTATTTAGATGCTGGTGGCATCTCTTTCCTTTGCATTTTCTGTTCTTTCATGAAGGAGCTCCTTCTCAGGTGATAAAATATAGACATGTTCCTTCATATCTTGAGTCTGAAGGTGCAAATGTGAATGAAAATTTGCTTGTATTGCCCACAAATGAATATAAATTCTTACAGATGTAATAGATATGCAGCTGGTCTCTAGTCGCATAAATGAAACGGAATTAGGCAGAACTGTGTTCTTCATGGCTACCATATTTAAGACAGCAGTTGCAGCAACTTCCACAAATAACTGCCTGCTGTGTTTTTAATTTATAAATTGTACGATTATCAGTATTGGAAGACTTAATTGCACACTAATCAATGAAACTATGGGATAAAAATGACTATAACTTAGATTATGGAGCACGTTTTGATGTGCATTTCATTGTTACTAATTTTATTTATTTATTTATTTTGCAATAATTAAAGGTCTTTCGCAGATGTTTGCACAGTTGTCTGTTGACCAATTCTCCATTCAGCACTATGCACTAAAAGCACAATAAGTGAAGCATGTTGTAGCCTGCTCCCTAGAACAGTGAATTATCAAATAAAATCATCAGGAAGGCACAGTGATAATATTTTTTCTTCTGTTATTTTCTTTGTTCTACTGTACCAGCTGGTTTGCTACCTATATTATGAACTGGTGCATTATTTTCTCTGATTTTATCTTTTTTAGGTTGTTTGTCTAATAACTCATATTTCCCACAGTGTGACCTCATGGCAACTACAGTAACTGGTGAGTTCAATCAGATTTTATAACTAATGCTAAAAAAGGTTAATAACAGATATGATTCAATGCAGAGAGGTCTGTTAACACATAGTGAGTGAGTGTTGGAACAATACAATGGAACATCAGTGTCCATTGTAGTGGTTTATGTGCAAATATACCATCAACACTGACACAAATACAAGAAATCAGCCTTTGAATAGCTGTCCACTGTAGTGACCACTATGCGTGAAAGGGTTAATTTATCTTTTTATAGAATGAAGAGTACAACTTGTTTGTTAGGTAACAAATAGCTGATAGATTTTTTTTAATCTAGTTTATCAATCAATGGATAAAAACTGCATACGGTGTTGAAATTAAGTCTTTTCTTTCTAGTTTGAGGTTTTCTTTCAGTTCCATCCTCATTTTTCTGATTGGTGGTGCTCTCAGTGCACTCATTTCACTTCCTCTTCCTGTTGAAGTGCAACCTGGTGCATATTTGTATCGGTGCTAGATTTCTAGATATCTTACCATTACCAAATTCCATGTATTTTGTCATGTTCAACTTGACCAATTTATTTATATAAAACTATTTGTTTCTATTTGTTTGATTCATCTCTCAACACAAAGTAATACAACACAGAACTAACGAAATCAAACCATAATGACTGCTAAAATCTACAACAAATGAAGAGTCTACACAAAATGGAATATACAAAAGATCACAAAAGATCAGCGTCTAATAACAAGTCCATACAATTAAGCAAAATAACCTATAAAACACTTGACAGTAACAAAATTTGAAAATGCAGAACATAGTCAATAACCTATAAACTAAATGATGATTAGCAAAGAAATACAGAAACTCAACTGTAAGGATAACCTAAAAAGTAGGACTTCAATGAATAAGCAAACTCCAGCCTGAAAGGTTATATCTTACATAATAATACATAACAAAAGAGCTGCAAAGGAACAAAACCTGAACTTAAAACGTCTTGATGCATGCTTAATCATCTAGGAAATCACAAAAAGGTTACAGTAAACCTACGGATACAGATCAGTATTTAAGGTTTGACTCTCATCATCCTCTGGGGTACAAACTGGGTGTCATCAAGATCCTACAACACAGAGCGAACATCATCCCCACAGACACAGTGGCCAGGGAGGCAGAAGAACATCACATCAAGAAGGCCCTGAGTAAATGTGGTTATCCCAGCTGGACTTTTGTCAAAGGCACCTAAAGAAAGCTCCAGCTGATCCAGGAGAGAAGGAAAACTGCTGCCTAAGGGAAAACCTGTAGTGATCCCGTATGTGTCAGGGGTATACATATACATATGTTCCGGGATAGGGTTACCGGGGCCCTGCTTTGGAGCCAGGCCTGGGGAGGGTGGCCAAGGGGCCCGGCCGGGCACACCCAGACGAAGGGACATGGGCCCATCTTCCTGCAGGCCCACCACCCGCAAGAGGCACCATAGGTTAGGTGCATTGTGAGCTTGGCGGTGGCCAGGAGCGGAGGTCCCGGCAGACTGATCCCCGGCTACCAAGACTGGCAATAGGGACATGGAATGTCACCTCTCTGGTGGGGAAGGAGCCTGAGTTAGTGCGTGAGGTTGAGAGGTACCGGCTAGATATAGTCGGGCTCACCTCACGCAAGGCTTGGGCTGGAGTTTCCCCTCGTGAAAGGTGGTGGGCTGAGGTGGGTATCCTGGTATCCCTGGTATTCTCATAATTGTTCAATTATTTTCATATTTCTTATATCTATTTTCAAATTTTTATTTTGATATCTTGGAAAGTTTCTATACAATCTATTTCCTTTTTACAGGCATTTTACAATCTTTTTTTTTTACATTCACAACATTTGTTTGGCTGGACAATTTTTGTCATTTTTTAAAAACTACTTAAAGAACTGCATCATGTGCTTTATTAACATTGTTTTTAGTCCTGTTCCAAAAATAATTTCAATCCATCCATTCACAGAAGATCTGCGTCGCCAGACAGGAAGCAGCTTTGAAGTCCTGCCAGAAAACAGTGAGTCACACTGAACTGTGTCAGCCTGAACTTAAAATATATGTAAATTTACAATAGTATGTTTGTGCACTCTGTTAGAACTAAAACCTCTGGATTTAAGCCTTACTGAAACAAAAGGAGTCACTCTTCAGTATGCTCCATGTCTGTGTTTTGCGGCCTTTTCTAAATCTCTGTTTCCCGTAGTGTCTGAGCTGAGGGTTGTTCTGCTGGGGAGCAGCTGGACTGAGAAAAGTGAAGTGGGAAATCTGTTACTGGGAAATACTGTGTTCACCAGTAAAACTAAATCGTGTGTGAGAATTAGTGGTACACTGGAGGGCAAAAAAATTGCTGTCATCAACACCCCCTACCTGCCTCCTCTCGACACCTCCCACCATGATCTGACAGAGTTTATAAAAGACTTTGCAAAATGGTCTGATCCTGGACCTCATGTGTTCCTGCTGCTTGTACAGCCTGAAAACTTTACAGAAGAACACAAACTGAGACTCTGCAGAGTCCTTCAAGGCTACAATGATCAATCATTTGATCATTCACTGATACTGATCTCAGCACCCAGAGAGGAGAGCTCCGGTTCTGTGGAAGACTTCATGAAAAGTCCAGCATTAAATGAAATGATCAAAAAATGTAAATGCAGATACTTGAAGAGGATCAATGTTGAACTTCCAGAGCTGTTAACACATTTGGGGGAAATTACAAAGGACAACAATGGAGAGCATGTCAGCTATGAAGCTTTTGAGGACACAGAACAGGATTTATCAAAAGATCAACAACCCCCCCCAACAAAGGAGACGAAGACTCCAATCATTGATGCTTTAAAGCTGCAGGTAAGATGAGAAACTCTTCTGACAAGGATGAAATACACAGAATATACAACATCTATGATTCAATAATCAGCATAACAATTTCTTATTTTCACAGGATTGCCCAATAAATTAATCACTCCTCAAGTTTCTGGAAAAACACCTTTGACCAACAGTAAGTAAAATGATGTCTGAACACCCAACAGTTTTAATTATGCTAGGATAGGCTCCAGTGCCCCTGTGCGGCTGAAAAGGATAAGAAGAAGAAAATGGATGAATAATATATATTAGTAGGCTTGTGCAGAAGCCTACTACAGTGAGCTGAGGTTGTTTAAACTTAACTTAATAATTCTAACTTTGACATTAAACAAACAGTTGTGCAAAAACCTTAAATGTTTAACACATTCACACACAATGACGAACTGTGTTGGTGTTTGAATTTTAATCTTTAAGTGTGACTCACATCACTATTTGACCAAGTCAATCGATGAGTAGACTAAAGGTTCTCTGAGCATACCGAGGACTGAAGAGATCTCCTCGTACAAGCCAAGTGTTGTGATTTTAGATTAATTTGTGTTATTGTGTCCTGTCTGTTGTATCACAGTGTCTGCGTTCAGGATTGTGCTGCTGGGCAAAAGTGAAGATAAGAAGACAAAACTTGGTAACTTATCATTGGGTACCAAGGATTTCACTGCCAAAGACAATCACCCATCATGCACTCCGTGGCCTCCTGTGGAGAGTGGAGAGGAAAACTACTGACAGTGGTGAAAACTCCAGACTTGTTCAGTCTGTCTGAGGAGGACATGAGAAGAGAAGTGAAGAGCTGTGTGAGTCTCTGTCATCCTGGACCAAATGTTCTGCTGCTGTTGGTGAAACCTTCTAAATTCACTGAGGAGAACAGAACAACTCTGAAGTTCATCCTGAGTCTGTTTGGTCACAATGCCTTTAAACACTCGATGGTCGTCATCACACATGAGAATGAAATGAGTTTCTCTGTGAATGAAGTCCTCAGAGAATGTGGAGGAAGGCACTACAACATGTTTGACATAACTATGGATCATTAATGCAGAAGATTCAGGAAATGACAAATCAATACAATCACCTGATCAAACCATCTTTAAACCTGGTTCTGTGTGGGAGGAGAGGAGCAGGGAAGACGTCAGCAGCCAAGGCCATTTTAGGTCAGACTGAGCTTCATTCAGCCTCCAACTCATCAGAGTGTGTTAAACATCAGGGAGAGGTGTGTGGACGTTGGGTTTCCCTGGTGGAGCTGCCTGCCTTGTATGGAAAACCTCAGGAGGCAGTGATGGAGGAATCACTCAGGTGTATCTCCCTCTGTGATCCTGAGGGTGTCCATGCCTTCATCCTGGTCCTACCTGTGGCTCCCCTCACTGATGAAGACAAGGGAGAGTTAGAGACCATCCAGGACACATTCAGCTCTCGAGTCAATGACTTCACCATGATTCTGTTCACTGTGGACTCAGATCCTACAGATCCAGCTGTTGTTAACTTTGTAAGCAAAGACCCAAATATCCAGGAGGTCTGTCAACGTTATGGACAAAGGCCTGTTATTGTTAACATCAAGGATAAAGAGCAGATCCACACGTTGTTGGACACTGTGGAGCAGATGAGATGTACAAACAAACCATGCTGCTACACAGCTGTAACATTTGCTCGAGCCCAGATTGATCTGATAACTAAAAATATGGTCACTCGTAAGTAATTGAATGTTTTTTTAATCATTAATCATGTTCGACATTATATTCTTACATCTACTTTATAAACTGTTTACATTTAAAGAAAATCATGTGTTTACAGGTGATGAAGAGAAGCAGAACACGGAGCCTCTCAGGATTGTGCTGATAGGAAAGACCGGCAATGGAAAGAGCTCATCAGGAAACACCATCCTAGGAAAGAGAATGTTTAAAGCAATGCAAGTCAAACATCAGTCACCAAACAGTGTCAGAAAGCACAGGGTGAGGTGGACGGCCGTCCTGTTGTTGTGTCGACACTCCTGGTCTGTTTGACACAACTCTGTCACACGAAGAAGTTCATGAGGAGATGGTGAAATGTGTCAGTCTTCTGGCTCCAGGACCACATGTCTTCCTGCTGGTGTTAAAAATTGGTCGTCTCACACCAGAGGAGAAGGAGACATTAAAACTCATAAAGGAAGGTTTTGGGAAGAATTCAGAAAAGTTCACCATCATTCTTTTAACGAGAGGAGATGAACTACAACGTGACGAAATATCCAATGAAGATTATATTGAAAGCGGATGTGATGATTCGTTTAAGAAGCTGATTGCTGACTGTGGAGGAAGATACCATGTGTTCAATAATGAAAAAAGAGAACCGCCTACT